AGGCGGAGGCTGCCGGCTGCTCTGCGATCTGGCAGTCCGGGGACTCGGGCGCCTGCCCGTTCCTGTCCCCGCGCGGCCACATGGCTCGGCTCTGCGCGCTGCTGCCCTGCCTGCTGCCCTGGTACTGCACGCTCTGCGCGGCCGCGGGCAGTCAGACCCCAGGTGCGTGCGTGCGGGTCGCGCGGGGACATGGGGTCTCCGGGGTGCTAGGGGTCGGAGTGGCCCCAGGATGCAGGAGCCAGCCTAGCAGGGTTCGAGGCGGGTGGAAGGTGGTGTGTACCTGGTTCAGGCTGAGTTGCTTCGTTTAGGCTGCTTTTAGCCATTTCTGCCCCATTCTGTCACTGGTGAAGTGACCTGCAGGAGGGATTGGGGAACACGCATCTCTGCCCGTGAGAAAAAGTCACAGTGAGCTCCCCCTCCCCCTCTCTTCCCCCACTTCTCTTGATCTTTTAATGCCTTGTCTCTAACTTGGGTGGCACTGTGGAATTGTGTGCACGTGCGTGTCTGAGTGTGCATGTCTGGTTGTCCCACACGGAATCAGGCTAGCAGGTGACTGCTTCCCACAGCAGAAAACTAAGGGCACCGTTGCTTCTGACCAGAAAAAAAAAGGTTCTTCCCCTATTCCCCTCCAAGCCCATCACATAGCATCCTCAGATACTATTAGGTTGTCTCCCAGGCATAGACCAGAGACATACCACATACATCTTACAGCATCGGTACCCTTCGGGTGCTTTGGGGGCATACAGAAAGGCTCTGTGATTTCTAGGGAAGGTTCATGTGCAAAAGTGGGACCCCTTTTACACAGTCTTGTGTTCCTTTGCCTGTCACAGCGAAAAGATAAAGGGACATCATCCCCCCATTTGCAATGGCCCCCGGGGGATCTTAAAGGAGCATCCTTCTGTGTGTGTTTTATCAGCGCTGTTAGCTGGGGAGGCGAGGGATAGGACTATGGAGAAGTGGAAATTCCTTCCAACTTGTGTCCATGAATCACCAGGCCTGGGAGCCAGTGAGCTGTCATTCCTGCCTGACTGTGCACAGAGAGGACTGCATGAGAATGGGGCCCACTGCCTGGCAAACCGCCTACGGCGCAGGGCCATGACCTCACACTTCAGTCAGCCCAAGTGGGCAGGTCACCCCCCGGTGTCTCTTTTTATTTTTGAAGTTCTATATTTATCCTGCTTGGGGCTGGGCAGTGCAGAAGCCTCACAACCACTTCGCTGCTTTTAAAAAAGTTTCCTTTCTAACCTCGGAAAAATATATAACGGCGCATTCCCTCACCCCCTTCTCCAGCCCCTCCTTTATCTGTGTCAAGGGCCCGGGATCCCCTGGGTTTCTAGGTGTGTTTGTTTTGGCAGCGGCATTCTTGGGAGCGTGGCGAGGTCCCTACCCCAGGCTGATGACTTCAGTACGCTGGGGGAGTCGAGGCAGGTCTGGAATTTTAGTCCTTTCTAAGCAGTGCTCAAAGTTGGAAGGCTTGTCGCCATGGTGACGGGACTTTGTTTGACATCATTTGTTTACTTCTGCTAAATATATATAAAAAAAGACCGGACAGCTACAGAAAGAATGTACGTTCACAAATTTATGTCTACCTGAGTGTCATTCAGCCAAGTGCAGGGGGACTGTGCAGGCTCAGGAAGTAGTGGGGAGAAAAGGAATGAACTTGGGCTAAGGGCTCTGTGATAGGTGATGCTCAGCGCTGCCTGTCCGTCTCTCTCCTCCCCAAAGGGGATTCCCAGATCCCTCTTACCTTTGTACAGCGTACCGTGAAGTGACTCTGTGTTTACCTCCAACAGACCAGCACCTCTCTGGGAAACTCCGTGACTACGTCGTGACTGTGCCCTGTAGCACGGATTTTCGGGGACGCTTCTTGTCCCATGTGGTTTCCGCCCCCACAGCAGCCGCTTCACATGGCCACCTCCGGGTGGCTCGCAGCCCCCCGAGACTGGAAAGAGAGACTCTGAGGCCTGGTGGTCCAAGGCACCACTTCCTCTACTTCAACGTGACTGTCTTTGGGAAGCTGCTTCACTTGCGCCTGCAGCCCAACCGGAGGTTGGTGGCACCAGGCGCCCCGGTGGAGCGGCACGAAGACTTCCGGGAGCTCTCCCGACAACCCTTGCGGCAGGAGTGTGTGTACACTGGAGGTGTCACCGGAATGCCTGGGGCAGCCGTTGCCATCAGCAACTGTGATGGATTGGTAAGGGACAAGACTTTCCCTCCTACTGAGCATCGAGTTCCTTTCACAGCTCTCGGCCCCCCCCTCCAGGTTCTTGATTCCCAAGGACATGGTACACAGTGCCACCACCATACCCTTCCTGACTGCCATGCTCTGCCAGGTGTGAGGTAGCCATAGTGGGATAGTACCCTTTCAGTGCTTTTATTCTACAGGAAACCACCAATAAGCTACTTCCTGGGACCTCTGGACCCAGACTGAAACAGGGCTGAGGACGTCATAGCCTAAGTCAGTGGTTCTCAACCTGTGGGTCAGGACACGTTTGGGGGGGGGGAATAAAATGGCCCTTTTACAGGGGTCACCTAAGACTCTTCTGCATATCAGATATTTACATTATGATTCATAACAGTAGCAAAATCACAGTTATGAAGTAGTGATGAAGATAATTTTATGAATGGAGAGGCCACCACAATGTTCAGAACTATATTAAAGGGTTCCAGCAGTAGGAAGGTTGAGAACCACTGTTGTCGGGTGTGCTGGTGGCTGTGCTCAGAAGCTATGCAGATGTGGACGAGCTAACCTTTCTATGCTTCTTTCCCTGAGTCTGTCTGCATGCACACCTGGATCGAGGCATGGGGAGATGCTTCGTCTGTGTATCTTGGGCCTAAACTAAGGTATGAAGGGGGTGAGCAACACTGTTCAGACTTCCTCAGGAACTGTCCCTGTCATTGAACCAGTTCACTGGCCTGCTGACAAGTGGCTGACTGCTAGATGCCGCAGGGACCAGGGCCATGTGACTCTGACTGCTAGTGGGGTGTACCTTACAGGGCCACATAGTGCAGTGCACTTGACAACACTTGTGCTTGGTGGTCAGGGCTGGTGGATGGGTGAGCCTGGAGCTGAACATGCCTAGGATGGTGTTGCTGATTGCCGTGGCCTCTGTGTAAATGCCCCCCTTAGCTATGTCACCTTGGATAAGTTGTTTCCTGTCTCTAGAATTTACACTTAAAATTTTTTTCATTGCCTTTACTTATTCACTGGGTTCATCCCCAGTGATATGTATGGATTAACTGCAGTGTTCGATATGTTCTATTCCAGGTGTTCACTGGGCTGGATGGTAGAGTGGGCGATGAGGGTCACTGCCTCGGGTGCAGGTCACAGGTTAAATGAGGATGGAGCCCCTGCTTAGACAGGCTTAAGGGAGGAGGTGCCACTGCCTTAGAACTGCCCAGACATCATCAACAGGGATGCATGTGTTGGGTTCTTAACGGCAGAGTGAAGGTCGGACTCAGGAAGGCCTGAGAGTGTTTAGTTAGCAAACAAGGGTTGTCGAAGGCCCAGTTTGCCTCCTGGGAAGGGTTCCCTCAGGAGCTGATAGGCTGGGACACTTTCAGGCCCAAGGATCAAGATTGGGAATGCCCCCAGGAGACTGCAAGTGACCCAAAGGGTTGCTCATCATGGCGACTGATGCTCTGCATCTGGAGGAACATGGGATTCTGGTAGAGGCCAGTTCTTTGTGGGTGCTGGAGAGGCTCCAGGGTTCAGAATGGGGTCTCTTCTTCTTGGTCAGGGATATCTCCTCAATGGGTCTACCCAGTGCTCCTCGTCTGTCTTCAGTGTCTCTCAGAGTCAAGGTCTGGTGCGGAAGTGGCCACACGTGTAAGATTTGTCACATCTGGTTCTGTTTTCCCAGTCTGCAGATGCTGCATTTTTAGTGGCATGGGGTGGGGTTGTGGAGGGGCCCTGAAGGCAGGATCCAGTCCTCCCTTTTCTCCTACCCCTAGGTTCCAGCCACCTCTAAACTAGAGTCCTTTTGCCTTAAAACGGGGCTGCAGTGGGTCTGAGAGCTGGCTTAGTCTTTGGTTAGGGACTTACTGGGCAAAAATGTTGATTTTTCTTCCTTAGCTATGTCTCTAGGCTGTGGCTGAAGGGAGGGTGGCTGGGGCTGGTGGACCTCCTGGTCTCCATGGGAGAGACCTGGGTGGGCTCTCGGTGAGCGCCTGCAGGAGCTCTCCCAGCTCTGCAATGGAAAGTTTTGAAGGTCCTGCCAGGTCCCTGGCACGCTGTTAGAAACAGCACATAGGCCTTTCCCTGCCTTCAAAAACCTGAACCCGTCACCATTGTCCACATGACATCTCATCCCTGGCAGGTCAGGATTGGCTGTGACAGCTCCCCATGTGTCTGAAGGTGGCCCTGTCACAAAAATTTCTGTCGTTGGTCTCAGCTCAAAACAGCCCGTTCTTTCAACCTGTCCTTGAAGAAACTATGTCTGGAAGAGGCTCTTGGGCCTCATTCTCATTCTTTATTTCCCAACTAAGAAAGCCAAACCCCAGTGATGGGAAGAGACCTGGGGTACATACAAGCAAGTGAATGCCCTCTCAGGGTGGGTGGGATTGCCAAGGCACCTCCCACTATCCCTCAGCCTCTCCTGACTCAATGGAAAAGGATAGAGTCCACAGGAGTGGTGACTCAAGGCCAGTGATGGCTAGTGAGATGGTAGTCATAGCAACAGCTTCAGGACCCTGGATACTGAAAGCCACAGGGCTGTTCCGGAGACTCCTGGGCTCGGCAGGGTGCTAAATGAGGTGTTTTTAAGACTCCTGATCCAAGAGCTAACTTGCCCGCCTTCTATATAGCATTAGCTTCCTTAGAACTTGACGTTCAACTAAGAAAAATGAAACATCAATGGCCCTTGTTGTGTGTGGGCTTTAGATCCAATGAAACTTTCTGGTTTCCCAGCCTCAAATCGCCATGGTTCATCATCTATCCATTTTCAGATCTCAGCGTGGGCTGCTATGAAATAACTCACTGCATGTCATAGAACACGGCAAGCCTTGTGGTCTGCTCAGCTTGCAGTGACGTGGCGGCAGGCACTTAGATAGGCTGGCTTGAGAGGGAGGTCTGTAGGTGAGAGCATCCGTCAGGACATAGACTGCTTCCAGAAGGCTCCTGGCCTGGAGATGTGGGGTTACTGTCCCCACAGTTCTTGCTGGCCCCTTAACCATGGCCATTGTTGTGGGAAAGTAGATGGTTATTATTATTTAATTTTATGTGTATGACTGTTCTGTCTCCATGTATGTCTGGGTCCCATATATGTGCCCGAGGAACCAGAAGAGGGTCTCTGATTCCTAGTAATCGGAGTTACAGCTGCTTGTGGACAACCATATGGGGGCTAGGAACTGAACCCGGCTCCTCCACAAGAGCTCGCAACTAGAGTCATCTCTCTAGTGTCAAAAGTAATGGCCACAGTTCAACCTCCTTGGGTTTGGTGGCATATGCCTGTAACCAGCTACCGCTACAGGTTTGGTGCCAGTCTGGGTTATATAGAGCGTTTCAGGCTACGTGAGCTACAGCACGAGGCTCTATCTTATTTAGAAAGAAACAAAAGCCTGCCCGAGTTCAAGGTTGGCCCGGGTTACTTAGTGAGATCCTGTCCCAAAATTTAAACAAATCATAAAAGGGCTAGGGATGTAGCTCGGTGACTGCATGCTAGCATCCGCAAGGCCCCAGCTTCAATTTGCCATGCCACAAATACAATCCTAGTCTCCAGGGGCCTTTGTAATTGCTTTATATCATCTACCACGGTCCTCTTTGGGATGCTATAGTTCTATAGATGTGTTTGTTGTCTGTCTCCAGTGGTAGTTCAATGTGAAGTTGAGGGGTGTGTGTGTGTGTGTGTGTGAGAGAGAGAGAGAGAGAGAGAGAGAGAGAGAGAGAGAGAAAGAGAAATGGGAGGAAAATGTCAGATGCCTTCCTCTGTCAATCATTTGTTTGAGATACAACTTCTCACTGAATCTGGCCATAGCTTATTGTTTTCAGCCAGGCTGACTGGATGGCCAGCAATCCCAGAAATCCCCCTGTCTCTGCCTCCCTAGCACACCGCCCTTAGCTCTTTACATGCATCCTGGGGATCTGATGCTAAGTCCTCATGTGTGTGAGTGCACTCACCCACTGGGCTGTTTCCCCGGGTCATAGGGACACATTTTTTTTTATTGTATTGAGAGTATTTTGAATGCCCCACCCTGATGAATGGTTAACCAGTGAACTAATGAATGGATGGATAGATAAGTGAATGAATGAATGTATGGGTGATGCTGCAGGTGAAGTGGCCTTACAGCTGCAATATGAACATTTGTGCTGCTGGTAACTGAGAGTCACACAGGGGAGGTGTCAGAATCCTGGCGATATGAAACATTCTAGCGGTGCAGTCCCCAAGGAGAATTTATTTGTATTTTGTCTGCTCTTGCACCTTGGTAGAGGGTCAGTGTGTTGTCAAGGCCACTGGGGGATGAAGCCTGTTGACATGGGACTTGGGTGTCTGGTATACCCCCACTCCCTGCTCTCCTGTGCTTCCCTGCCTTGCACAAGACCCTTCTCCTAGGCTGCTACAGGGCTCATCCGTCACTTGCCACAGACTGACCCTGTGTCAGAGTCTGAGATAGACGTTTATACGTGCTATCTAATGTGGGAGAGATAGAGCTTAGAGCCACGGCAGGACTTCTAGGCTCTTCCTTGGCTGGCTCTCCCCTGCCGAGGAGGCTGTCTGTACCCTTTTGCTGGAGCTGCCCCAAGTGTTCTGGTTGGCATCTGAGCCACAGGGAGCAGACAGCAGGGCCTCCGTGCAGGGAGCTGTTCCTCAGTTCAAGGCTTGGCAGCCACGTTGCCTTCTGGCACTGAAGGCCTGCTTCCTGTCTCCTCGTCCTGAAGCCACAGTTGCTGCCAGGACTGGGAGCCAAGCAAGGGGCCAGGCAGAGCTCCCAGCCCGATCATGGTGGGCTGTGGCAATGATGGAGTGGGATGGGGGAGCCTTGGAGCCGTGTGGCTTCTGGGCATAGGGAAATGGAATCATGGGTGGCTTCAGCCCCCAGGGAGAAATACTCTGACTCTGGATGGCCTTCAGGACATGGTTTGCAGAGGAAGGGGAGGCTCAGGACACCTGTAGGTGTTAACCCTACCCTGCCACTTACATCAGGACCCCTCCCTCTGGTGCTGGCATGGATGGAAATAAAACAGCCACCCCTCCT